CAGGCATGATGAAACTTACAACTCCCGGTTTTACTCATTGCTCGGTTGGTTAGAACGTTGGCTGTAATTAGGCCTTCCGCCTTCTGATGTGAGTTCGGATTCCACTGACGTCACCGAGTTTTTCAGAAATGAATTGAATGAAATACCCTTCTGCTGTTAAAACACATCAAGAGACATCCTCTTTGACCTCCTCTGAAGGTGGGTTTTCGTCTGTAAGAGCTTATCTTCTACTGTCATCGGTAGCTGAATGCAATATCGCAAATGTTTAAAAACCTCTGTTAGGTTCATTTCTACAAACTGAACAATGATACATCCTGCGATGCGTGAAACCACGTGATTCGCCTTCGACAATGTTTTCGAGACTTTACCATTGCTTAATTCCACAGGCAGAGTTTGGCTGGTTTCAGCAGAAAGGGTCAACAGGAGCTCGGGTGTGCCAGTTAAGGCGGGGATCGGAAACGCGGTCCTGGTTGACCAACAACTAAACACTTACGTACTACTACTGATTTAAATAAGGATATTACTGCTAGAGGATACATTCAATGTTAGGTGCTTCGAGGGCTGCTGAAGTTATGAATCACGATTATTCTTCGGGTTCTTCATAACAGCAGGGTTAGAGTTAGGCTCAGTTTTTAGTGTTAGCGTTACGGTTTAGAGCTATGATTTGGGGTTATAGTTAACATTCCGTCCCCCTCTTTCCTATGTGGTTTTTATGAAAACGTTTTTCATCTGTTTATTCATTGTCTTGAACCTTGACCTTACTCTTATGCACTGATATTCTGTACAAATTCATACTGCTGTGCGCTTCCATTCATTGCCTATGTTATGCAAAGACAGGCTACAGTTGAAAAGCCGTCACAAAATTTATTGGCATCAATAAATCATGCTTCAGGTTAGTATTAAGGTCAGGGTTTAGGGTTTGGACCTAGGATTAGGTTTTAGAGTTTAGGATCATGGCTAGACTACAGGGTCAGGACCTAGAGTTAGAGTTTAGAGCTTGGGGTTAGGGCCAGGATTTAGGAGTTTGAGCTAGGTTGTGAGGTTCATGGCGGGGATTTATAGCCATGGATAGTACTTAGTGTTAAGGTTGGGTATAGGATCAGAGTAAGGGTTAGAAGTCACGGTTAGTGTTGGGGTTAGGTTTCTGCGTTTGGATTTAGGGTTAGCGTTTATAGTCGGGATTTAGATTTTAGGCTAAGCCTAGTGTTTTGGGTTAAGGCGTAGGTCATTTTGCATCCGCCATCCTACAACTTTCATCTATGGATTCCGTCCGATGTATGAATATTTGGGCGAGGTGTTCGACTCTTCAGTAGGTCCTCCAGCATCCCGCGTGCTTTTTGGTAGATACTCCAGTTTAGGAATCGCTGCTCATTAATTTCCCCAGAAATAAGCCGCTAACTGGAGAAGCTCAATCTTTGGGCGCAAACGGAAATTTGAGCTAGTACGCGTGTTGCTGGTATGGCATACTTAACGCTAAAAACATACTAATCGCTGGCTGTGGACGGTAAATGAATATTTTGCGGTTATTCCTCGATGGCTGATAGAATTCGGCCTAAACAGTCATGCATCAAATTTCCATCTGCGGCCACGGAACATAGAGTAAAGGGATCTACTT